GTGCTTGGTGATTCCTCATGAGCAAACCTAGAGATAAGGAGAAAAATCAAACCCTAGTGTGATCTTGTTGTGATTGGGTTGATATGAGATGATAGAAGAATCTTAGGGGGAAAAATTGGGATACAACACCCCTCATCTCTAAAACTGAGATATTTATAGTTGTCCTGGGCATGAATCCTAAGCCCCTTAGGGATATCAACCACTCTTGAGAAAATGTGAGAGTTGATAGTTAACCTCCCATTTATTCATAGGAAAGTGGTTGGTTTCCACGATTTCCTCCACACTGTTGTGGACTAGAAAAAATGTCACCTCCACGATCACGCGCTTTAGGAGTACTATCGAGAGCCCGTGCAACATATCTAGGAAGAATGCGTTTTATCCAAAAAACAGACGTTCATAATAGAAAAAAGATGCTATAGACGAGATGCTAAATCCCTTACTTCCTTCCCGCCTCTTGTGGAGCATTTTCAAATATATCAATTCAAATTTATGTCAGTGTAGTTTCGAAATAATATTTATAACTTAAAATATTATTTTTTTCAAATTTGTTGTAGATCATCATTAAATATATTTATTTCTAGTTCAAACCTTCTATATTTTCGGCTCAAATTCCACTCCTTTAATTCATAAAATAAATTTCAATAAACTATTTTCTAAACATAATTTCAAATTTTTACAATTTATATGTGGTAAACATTAAAAAATTTCCATCAAAATAGTATATAATTTAGAGATATATTTATAAAGGACAAAAATCTCCACTTTACAAATTAGACCCAATCCAAAATTTGAAAATAGAAATAAGTCAAATGATAACATTTATAAAAGAAAACATATTTATGATGTTAAAATATTCGTGATCGTCCGATAAAAATCAAACAATTTAAAAAATTAATTGATTTTGATTGGACGGTCCATGTATTTTGACTTCATAAATGCATGAGCTGTCCACATGTTGCGAGGATAGAAATCAAACACAGACAAGGATTGAGGTTAAGTATAACATCCTCAATCTCTATCAGTCTCACAATTCTTTATTTTTTACCGTTATTGTTACAGATAACAGAAAATGACTATGGCTTCTGCAACCCTAATCGGGTTCGCACCCTCCCTTTCAACATCACACCACCGTCTCCACCGCAGATCCATCGTCGTATCCAGTTCCTCCCAATCTTCAAACTCAACAGCAGCAACTTCCCAATCAATTTCCACCGCCGTATGGAAGATAGACAGTTGGAGAACAAAGAAAGCACTTCAACTTCCTGAATATCCAGATCAGAATGAGGTTGATCAAGTTCTTCAAACGCTTTCGTCTTTTCCACCGATTGTGTTCGCCGGTGAGGCCAGACATCTCGAGGATAAACTCGCTCAGGCTTCTATGGGGAACGCTTTTCTTCTTATGGGCGGGGATTGTGCTGAGAGTTTCAAGGAGTTTAGTGCGAATAATATTAGGGATACTTTTCGTGTTATTCTTCAAATGGGTGTTGTTCTTATGTTTGGGGCTCAAATGCCTATTATCAAGGTTTTATCTTTATCCTCTTTCCCTTTTTCTCTTATGATCAAATGATAAAATTGACTGATTTGTTTTTTGTTTTTTTTATTTAATTGGAATTTGAAATCAGATTCTGTACTATACTATTAGTTATAATTATTTGAATTTGGAACCCTAATTAGAGATTTTAAACCCCATGTTGGACTGAATTTAGGGTGTGTTTGAATTGGCTTATTTGAACTTATTTAGTGGTATAAGTTTTGTGACACTGTTTGGTAGACCTTATCGAAATAGCTTATGATATTTTTCATAAACTTTTTTTAAGCTTATTTTTTAAGTTTTCCGAGCCAGTTTATGAAAACAACTTATCGAATTTATAAAAACCATTTAAATTTCCGAGCTAGATTCACAATTGTGTAGAGTTTTATGTATGGTCAATGAGAATGAAATGTTTCTACCCCTTGTTTGATTGGATGTATGCTGTGAATGAATTAGGTGGGGAGAATGGCGGGTCAGTTTGCAAAGCCGAGATCCGATTCATTTGAAGAGAAAAATGGAGTCAAGCTGCCGAGTTACAGGGGTGACAATGTGAATGGGGACGCATTTGATGCAGTGTCTAGAACTCCAGATCCACAGAGAATGGTAAGGGCGTACTGTCAGTCTGTGGCTACTCTCAACCTCTTGCGGGCGTTTGCCACCGGAGGTTATGCTGCCATGCAAAGGGTCAACCAGTGGAATCTTGATTTCATGGAGCAAAGTCAACAGGGAGACAGGTACCATTTCTAAACTTTATTTTGGGATTTTGACTCATTAGTGTCTGTTCATTTCTTAATTTAGTTCTTGTACTACATTAAAATGGTCTGGATGGATCATGGCTGTATTTGAAAATTGAACTGATTATTTCTATGTTGCTCAAAAGATACTAGTTGATATGCTTTAGCAATTTCTTTTGTGCTTTCTGCAAGTGATATGGTTATTCGTGAAATTATTTTAGTAATTTCTTTTGGATGTGGGCCAACAGGTATCGTGAATTGGCGCATCGAGTGGACGAGGCTCTTGGTTTCATGAGTTGCGCTGGACTTACAGCTGACCATCCAATCATGACTACAACAGAGTTTTGGACCTCCCATGAGTGTTTGCTTCTCCCTTATGAACAAGCACTTACCAGGGAGGACTCTACTTCTGGATTTCATTATGATTGCTCTGCTCACATGCTATGGGTTGGGGAACGCACCCGCCAACTTGATGGTGCACATGTTGAATTCTTGAGAGGAGTTGCTAATCCACTTGGCATCAAGGTGCATATATAGTGTTCCTTGCTTATGACCTGAATAAGTTGATATGTTTGGCTATGTTGCTATTTTGCTTTGAGCATCACATTACCTTCCATATGATTTTTTTTATTATTTTGTTTCACATTGTTTTAATAGTAATGCATAACTATAACTACTTAGCCTGCTGGTCAAGCATATGTGAAATTCACATATGCTTGACCAGGCTAAGTAATTAAAGTTATGTATTAGCATGCTCTTCAAACACCTAAACTACAATCCTGTTTTGGTCTTGTTGGTGGTACGAAATGGATTTCTGATGAAAAATATGCAGCTGCTACTAAATGACTACTTGGTTTTCAGGCTAGTGATAAGATGGATCCAAATGAACTTGTTAAGCTGATAGATATTATGAACCCCAAAAACAAGCCTGGAAGAATTACAGTTATTGTAAGAATGGGAGCTGAGAATATGCGAGTGAAGCTTCCACATCTTATCAGAGCAGTTCGTGGTGCTGGTCAAATTGTCACTTGGGTTAGTGATCCCATGCATGGGAACACTATTAAAGCTCCATCTGGACTTAAAACCCGCTCATTTGATTCAATAAGGGTAATTCTCACTTATACTTGGTTATTCTTCTTCATCTCTCTCTGCACAATATTATATTCAATATTATGCAATACACAAATGGCATAAAAATATGGTCTATACTTGGCCATTGTCTTATATTCCATAGAAACCTTATAGTTCACGTTGTTACTATTTCTTTTCGAGAGCATGCAACTTAGCTCTTAAATCTTTTATGATGTTTTGACTCCTTATAATCATATCCAAGAATATATGAATGAATGTATTCCCTGAATGGTTTTGTTGATGATAGGCTGAACTGAGGGCATTCTTTGATGTCCACGACCAAGAAGGAAGCTTCCCCGGAGGTGTTCATTTAGAAATGACAGGGCAGAACGTGACAGAATGTGTTGGAGGGTCGCGGACCATTACTTTTGATGACTTGAGTTCACGCTACCACACTCATTGTGATCCAAGGCTTAATGCTTCTCAATCCCTTGAGCTTGCATTTGCTATTGCAGAGAGACTGCGCAAGAGAAGGCTTAACTCAACTCAATCTCTGTCTTCTTCATTCACAATTTAAAGAAAAAGGGTTCTTACTTTGCCTTTGGATTTGAGCTGATAGTGTAAAAAGGTATGCAATGGACACGGACCAAATCTTGTAGCTCAACTTAATTTGTGCCATTTGAGTGTAATGTCTGTAGGTGCGAGTTTGGTTGTTCTTGCAAGTTTTGTTCTCAAGATTTGAGAAATATTGTGTCTATTTGTGTTTGAGAAATAACTAGTAATGAATAAAAATTCTTAGATATGTTGATATCAAAATGCATGCATCATAGTGAAGTTTATTACATGAAAGATTGTTATTTTGACATTTTAATTTTGATATTATTATGGAGGCAATCTAATCCATCTCAAATATATATCATTGATTAATATAGGTAGAGCTATTACCAATAGTACTACGTTTTGAAAAATAAAATAATAATTAACTAACATAAAACAACCAAGAGTAAAAACTTGCCCTAAATATAAATTAAACTACTTAAATCAAAACTTTGAAATGGAAGCTACAATAAAATGGAAGCTGCGATGGAACACTCAAAGAAAATAAGATAAGATGTTTTTTTTTATTGTGGAAACTTTTTTTCTTAAATAGAGCTCGCATTTGACTAATTTTTTTAAGAACTTTTCAATTTAAAGAAATTTTAAACATTTTATAAAAAAAAGCATGATAGTACATCGCAACTCAATACTTTTGAATCAAAATCATAATATAGAATCTTAAATCTAGAATCGGTTATGAACCGACTCAGGTAATAATACAATTATAGAAATAGTACTAAAAAATTAAAATCGGATAAAGTAATCATGATAAATTATAAGTCAATCTTAAGCTCTTTTCTCACTAATTTTTTATTTAAATTCTATGGCAGGTGATTTTCAATCAACTTGATGTGTCTAATTGAATCAAGTGGTCCACACTAAGTCACATGTCCAACTCATTCAAAAAAAAAACTGAGAAGAAGAAGATGGACCACTGTTGTAATGCGCCGACAATGGAAGAGAAACGAAGGAGATGCGTCACTAATTTTTTTAATTTTTCTCTGTTTCCTTTTTTTTATAAATGAGCTGGACTGGATACGTGGCTTAATGCGGACCACTTAATTTAATCAGACATACCAAATTGATTGAAAGTCATATGCATTTCTTGCCATAAAGGCAGAAAATTCGGATCCTATCAAATAACGGTCGTACACATTGACGGAGCTACTTACAAGACTATGTAGGCCTATGTCTCCATTAGAATTAAAAACTGGTTTGTAGTATCTACATATTACATAATAGCGATAATAGTGATAAAGTAGATATATTGCATTGAATAGTTCTTTCATTTCAAAATATATTGCAAAATAGTCTATTAAATAATTAAAAAAAACTCTTTACTATATATACTATTAGACATATTGCTTACTTTTGGGGCACCTCTTGTAATGGAAGAAATATACTAGCGCTTTCCCTTGTGTCAACCATCTTCTCTGTTGTTTATCTCATTGCTTTTGTTTCCAACCACCGCTTCAAAAAATTTCTTAGGGGATTGCTTTCTCTTAGGGGAATCCTCTCGATTCATTGCCGTCTTCATTATACTCAGACAACCTCCCTTGTTGATTACCCTCCTTAATTGCATCCTTCAGATGGATGTAATAATTGGTGTTGTTGCCATTTTTTGGAAAGAATAATATTTGAACCTGACAGTCCATGCAACTTCCTTGATCGGGTATGGGCTCTTTATCCCAATCCCCTTTTAGTGTTGACACGCTCCTTTAAGATTATCTCCCTCAAAGTTTTTAAGATGTGTACACGTCAAATCTTGGGGGATGGGATATGCATTCATTCTCTTCCTTGAAACACCCGTAATCTTTATCCAATGGCCAACCATACTCTGCATTCTCTGTCACTCGTCTGCCTCTGTTAGCCAACCATTTCCTTCATAGTTGATGTAGGGCTATGTCCTACTCAACACATCCTTTATATTTTAGCCCTCATTGCACTCTAACTTCTCCCAAAATACACAGTTTGGTATGAGGCCTTTCTTGAAAATTCGACAATCCAGTATCTCATCCGAGCCTTCAACAATTACTGTCACCTTGATGAAACGATAAATATAGCCACACACAGTTTTCTTCTTACCATGACTGATGACTCTGCTAAGCACGACAAGGGTGGTTGGTTGCCTATTCCTGGTGGTAAAATGAGTGGTAAAAGCTTCGCACAAATCAGACCAGGAATCTATGCTCTCGTGCAGGAGGGACTTGTACCAAGCTAGGGCTGACTCAACTAGGGTTAGTGGAAAGAGATTGCATTTTATGTCTCAACCGACATGGTAGTTTTCTAGCCGATCGTCCACATGCTCATTTAAATCACCAGTTCCTTATAACTTTGAATTTTCGGAGGCTTCATTAGTGACTTTGGGATTCTGTTGTCTAGTATACAAGCAGACATGGGTTCTTCTTTCGCAATTGGGTGAGAGCATCTTTTTCATTTCATAGGGCGACTAACTTTTAGAGGAATGTGGCTACCCCTTCCTCATTTGAAATCAGAGGAAGGAATATGACGCTTGTGTCATAGGCTGGTTGGAGAATTTTTGAGCTCCTTTTAATCCCTTCTTGGCTCAGGGGAAACACTTTTTTGTGAAGCCTCCTCTTGCACATTGTTGTTCTCCGAGTTGGCGTTGTGTATACTTTCTTCGATATGAGTTATTCAGTCGACTGCATGAGGTTAATTGGACTGCATGAGGATGTGAAAGTTGGCCACATTTTTCGAAAAGCAAACAAGTGTATAGATGTGTTAACTAACGAAGACTTAAGTTATATGAACTATACTGATGCCCATGACTTTATCAGTGCTTTGTTAGAGGATACTTATTTAAGTGTTTCTTTCCCTAGGTTGATCCAGATGTAATCTCTCATGTTCGGACTTCGACCCTCTTTATTATAAAAAAAAAAATCCATTTATACAACATCCTAAATGGCCATAGGATGTAGTGTATGATACATACACACTTTAAATATGTCTATCTAATTAAATATTCATGAATTGAAAATTTATTAAAAAATTCTTAAAAGTAAATGATACAAAATTTAAAAAATATAATTATATTCTTCTATTTATAAAATATTTAATGAGATTAAATATAATTTTATATTATTATTCAATAGAATTATAATATTAAATTAAATTATATTAGTATTTTAAAATTTAAAATGTGAATTGATGAGGTATACATCATTCATTGATTGTTAGTGAAGTGATGCATATTTCTTTTTCTGATTTAATAAAAATTCTTAAAGTAATTAAATGAACTTAAAATTAATTTAAAAATTAAAACGTTCTATAAAATGAAATTCAATGAAATAAACTTAAAAACGATTTAAACCAAAAAAAAGTGATTTTAAAATAAAATTAAAACATTCTATAAAATGTATTCTGAATTCTTAATTTCCACTTTAAATTTTAATCTAAAATCCATAAGATTCGAAAAAAAAAAAAACCTACCCAGTGTTATTTGGGTATACTAAAACAGAAAACAAGAAGAAAAACACTAGTCAAGTAAAAGTAAAAGTAAGAAAAAAAAAAGAATTTACGCTAAATATTCTGTAAAAAAAAACAAAATAGTTTCTGCTAAAAACTGAATTGAATTGAAGAAGCATTTTCAAGTTTCAGAAGAAGATGAAGAAGGAAGAAGAATCAACGGTGAAGATGGAGTGGTTATCTTCCATTGATTCAACCACTCTCTCACATTCTGAACTTCACGCGCTTTCTCTCTCTTCACTCTCTTCTTTCGATCTAAAATCCACGCGCGAAATCATCACTCCCAAAATCGATCCCTCCACCTTCAACCACAGCGCCGGTTCCCACCGTCAAACCTACTCCCGTCCTCGCCGTCTATGTCGCGTCGCACCGCTTCTTCCTACTCCCGCTCTCCCCGCCGACCACCGCGTCATCGTCGATTACCTCAAGCAGTTTATCAGAGAGGATCCGAAGTTCGACACGGTGGAGCTTCTTCCGCCGACAGTTCCTTCGCCGCCGGTTATGATGTTTAGCGGTGGAGTGTTTAGCGGTGAAGTGAGGATGAGGAAGAGAGGGAGGAAACCTAAAGTGAAGATGCATTTGGATGAGAGAGGGATGGGGGTTGTGAATAAGAACGGCGTTGCTATTGATCTTGCTGCGTTGTTTAATGTGGAGCATCCGTTTGCGGCGGAGCTGGCGAGACGGACGGAGGGGATGAATAGTGAGGAAGAGCTGTTAGGGTTTTTGAGTGATTTGGTTGGGCAATGGGGAAGTAGGAGGAGGAAGAGGAGGATCGTTGATGCGGCTGATTTTGGAGACGTGTTGCCTCTTGATTGGAAGCTTCTTCTTAGTTTGAAGAGAAAAGATGGTCGTGCTTGGATCTATTGCCGCAGATATATAAGGTTTAATCCATTATTTTGTTTTCTTTCAACCTTAGGATAAGATAGGATAATACATTTATTCATGAGTAATGTGATTTGTTAGTTGAATCATTAAAGTTTATACAGAAGTAGAAATAGAAGGCAATCAGGCATTAAGCTGCACTGAGCTGCTACCCTTCTTGGATGGCAGTTTGAAAAAAACATTAATGTGCTTTGCTTATCAATATGTAAGGAGTGAGGACTCTTCCTCCGGGGTAAGCATGTTTGGATAAATAGCTTAATAAATTAAGTACTTATAGCATAATCAATCATCATATGAGTGCTTATGTAAAAGCTATTTCTATAACAAACGATAAAATGAAGTCAAAATGTTTTTATATAGACTCTAAACTGTTTTTATAAGCTATTCTGGAGAGTATATAGAATTAAGTTGAAAACAACTTACGAACATGTCATAAGCGGTTTCCTTAAGCTCTTTCAAACAATCTCACGACTGCTTCTGCTTATGCAGTAGTCAATAGGTAAGGTCAAGTAAGTCAATCAAAACACACAGTAAGATGTCTGCTTGTGTTTGTTTGAGTTTCCCTTTTGGAGCTAATTTGTTATCTTGTATTCTCCAGCCCTAGTGGACAGCAGTTTGTGTCTTGCAAAGAAGTTTCTTGCTATTTGCAGTCTCGCGTTGGCCCCTCTGATTTACAGTTGCAAATCAGTCACAAGAGTGAAAACATACTTCAGGAACAGAGAGTTACTACTGATAATGTAAGTAATCCTGCTGGTGTTGATCTTTTGTGATATTATTCTGGAGGTTAATGGGTTGTGTTGCAGTCTGCAGGTGTTGCTCGCGAGGAGAATGATCAACGGCAGATTGTTGCCACTAACTCAGATGTGTCTGGTTTGTCTGTCTCTAATGAACGATTGAAAGAAGTGTCCTTGTTGGAGACGGAGAACCTTGCAGATGTGCAAATACATGATCTGTTTGAATGTCACAAGTGCAGCATGACCTTTGATGAGAAGGATGGGTATTTGCAGCACCTGTTGTCTATTCATCAAAGGACAACGAAACGGTATCGAGTTGGTGCATCTGTTTCAGATGGAGTTATAATTAAAGATGGGAAATTTGAGTGCCAGTTCTGTCATAAAGTGTTTTTGGAAAGGCGTCGCTACAATAGTCATGTTGGGATACATGTAAGGAATTATGTGAGGAGAGCTGAAAATTTGCCAAGCCAGCCTAATGTCCCGAGTGCAGACAAGTCTCCAGTGACGGATGAGATGCCCTCTAGGATCTCCAAGATGGATGCCCTCGTCGAGATTGCTCAAAACTCTATTATGGAGGATTCTGTCATGGAACCAGATTGTTCTTCTAAACTAAATATGATTCCTGTTTCAGAAATTGCGGTTGGTGACTTAGATGAAAACATAAAAGTTGAGTCTCCGATTAATGATCAACAAATGGAAGAGAGCTTGATTGGCACAAATGTAGTTCACAATCCAAATCAGCAAGGTAGTCCTCGTTTATTCATGGATGGAACAGTAGAGAAGATTGACTACAATAACAAAGTTATTGATGCAAATATGTTTAGCTTTCAAGATAACTTGGGCTTGTTATCTGTAAATAAGAAAAATGTTGATGCACCTGATACTTCTAAAGGAAAAGGTGATGTTCTGCTGACTGTTGAGGGGTTTGATCATTCTGGGATTAATCTGCAAGGAGTTTCTCAAAGCCTGCTGTTTCCTTCATCTGGTAATCACATGAAACCTGAGAAGAGTGAAAGTTCTAGTTGTACCAATACCCAAGGGGATCTTCAACTTGATGAAGACAATAGTAATAAGAGTGACTTGAAAATTGGTTTAGATGGCTGCAAGGATGCACCTGGTGTTGCTAATGTTCAAGTGACAGCAATTCCAACTTCTAAAGAAGATATGGTCCAATCTAGAGTTTCTAA